CTCTCTCTCTCTCTCTCTCTCTCTCTCTCTCTCTCTCTCTCTCTCTCTCTCTCTCTCAGTCACTAGACACAAACACACACATGCGCACAGGCACACACTTCCTTTAAGTTGTAAATAGTGGTAGTAATACTTGGTGAAAATGAACCTGTTTGATGTGGGGAGATGAACCATTTCCTCTGGAATCAGTGCTTTGGAATTACTGTGAACTGGACTATTTTAGCGTCTACTCCGTGTGACCTTTAACTATATAAACACTTTTTACAGACTACTAATTCACGGGGGCTCCACTGCCCAGTACTGAGTAGCAAAATACTTCACTAGCATTAGCCTGAATTTTTCCCTTTTCCCCTTTATCAGTTAAGATAATGACGCAAGAGTCGCAGAATATAAAAGTAAATTCTACCTTGAACAATGAAGCATTGTGTAGAATTTTTTTCCTTCTGTTCTGGCATACCACAGTCTAACATTAGGTGAACTTTAAAAAGGAAATAGTTTTTTAGTGAGACGTGGGTCGGTTGACCAGAGTTATGTGTAGGAAGGAAGCTGTAAGGCAATGCAGACATATTGGCTTTATAGTTATTGTTCAGTCTTAAACACATTGGAATTGGATTTTTATTCATCATCCTTCCCCGACATTAAATTGAAGAAAATGAAAAATTGCTGCATATTGGACAGTGGGCGTATATTTGTCACCTGACTTACTTGCTATTCCCCTGTGATTTATGTTTAGCTCAAAGATACAAAAATTGTGACAATCATCTTGTCATATATTCTTCCCAAAAACCTTGTGATAATAATTATGATGAAATTAATAATAATAATAACAAAAACAACAACAATAAGACTGTATTCCCATGCCTAGATCGATCTAACAGGATCGATCTGTCTCTGAAGGGTTTTCTCTTTAAATTCCTTTTAGCTTAAGTGGCTTAGATGTCTGACACCCCTACTGAAGCTGCTAAACAAAGTTAATTACCCCCTAGCAGCTTCAGTGGGTGTGACAGACATCTACTAGTAAGCTGCTTAACTTGATAGCAATTTAGTGAGAATCTCCTTGGAGATAGATCGATCCAAAGTTAGTACGATAGGCTCTGGGAATGGTCCCTAATAATAATAATAATAATAATAATAATAATAATAATAATAATATTTGTTGTTATTATTATTATTATTATTATTATTATTATTATTATTATTATTATTTAATGATGATGATGATGCCTCTAGGTGTTAGGTATGGGGAAGGAGTGGAGAGGCGGAGACATGGCAGTGTCCGTTGGTGGTGGGTACAAGATCAACCTCCTGAAAGAAGGCTTGAAGAAATACAAGGACAAGAAGGACCTGGTGCTCATGTTTACTGACAGGTATTGATAGTATGCCTTGGTGTTGATGGTTTATAATAATTCACATTGAGAAAAAATAAGGCCACTAATGTAACTTTTAGTAACTGTTTTATTTTTCTGAACCTTATGTGAATGGTGATCATGCTTTTATAAAAAAATTTTTTTTTTCTTTTTGATTTCTGGTTTTACACTTGCATGACACACCCTATAAAATGGCCTGCAGTTAAGTAACTGAAGATTCATGTTATTTTTATTTTCACAGCTATGATGTAATTTTTACTGGTGGGGCTCAGGAAATCTTGAAAATGTTTAAAAAGTTCAATGCCAGGGTGGTATTTTCTGCCGAGGGTTTCTGCTGGCCGGACGCCTCTCTTATGGTAAGGACCTTGATTGCATTACATGGTGCAGATAATACATTGAGTCTATCACCCACACACTATGCCAGCCATTGGGCTGATAATGATTTAGGGACGGTTTCCAATGAAAATATTTTTCTGTTAAGATCGATCCAACTCTGCAGGGACCCTTGGCTGAATGCAATCAGATTAACTAAATGTCAAGCCTCCTTGAGCTGCTCAATCCCTCACTGTTCTCTTTGTGAGCTAGGGTGTGATTTACTTTCCTGTATGCTTTACTTATAGAAGCAGTTTCACTTAATTTTGTGTGCAACCTGAACCAAACATACAAAACAATTTGTCACCCCTGCTCAAGGCGTGTCATTCAGTTAATCTGACTGCATTCAGCAAGAGTCCCTGTGGAGTTGAAGAATGATAGTTTCTTTGGGGTTATGCACCTAGGGAGCATCCAAAAGTGCAGTTATCAAATCATAAAATATTTCAATTTTATTAAAATACTCTAAACATCAAATGTAGGTAATCTCTGATTGATAAGAATTTATGACAGGAAAGGTTGAATGTTACGTTCTTCTTCCAGGACAAATACCCAGAAGTGAAGATGAACGAGAAGAGATTTTTGAACTCAGGCGGTAACTTTTCTACAACATTTCTGACTAAATAACCTGGAATTTACATGGATTTCTCTAGTCCAAAGAGCCTCTCATATTCCTTATATATGTTTTTGTATAATGGGATAATTTTATTCTCTTAATTATGAATAACAAGCTTTGATTTATATATCATCATTGATCAGTATTACGAGTACCCTTGAAATTTTACAGTTGGTGTCATATTTCTAGGATTACTGGTATTTCTAGTATTTGTTACATAATACTGTTTTATTTTCAGGATATATAGGTTACGCCCCTGACATTTACGAGATCATCACTCACAATGAGGTGGGAGACAAGGATGACGACCAGCTGGTTTATACAAATATCTTCTTGGATGAAAACCTCAGGGTAGGAAGGAATAGGTTGGCTGGGGGACCTGTTCTTCTGCACAGAATATTTGCATTCAACTTTCCAGCTCTTGTTTCTCTTATGCTGACTTGTTTAATTTGTTATTTATCAAATGAGTAATTGATTAATTGAAACCAATAGTGGATTTATGAATTAATAAGTGAATTAATCTTTTTAAATAATTCTTTTTATATAGAAAAAATGGAATATCAAGTTAGACACCAGAGGAGAGATTTTCCAGAATTTAAATGGAGCTCTGGGTAATTATCAGACGAAGAATGGAAATTTATTTAGTGGAAAAAAAATTAAAACATTTTCTGTCTGTCATGTATCATTTATTATGTATCACATTGCTAACTTAATTTCAATTAAAATCAAATTGAAAAGACATAGAAATTTAGAATAGTCACAATAGGTATATATGTACAATTTAAGTGTGATAAAAGGAATCGAGCCAGCTGTCAGTGTAGACACTTATGTACAACAGAATATAAAACTGTTTGTTCCTGTCTGTAGATGAAGTGACGCTCAAGTTCAAAGGTGCCAACAGTTACCTGTACAATGTGAAGACAGGTACCACGCCACTTGTGGTTCACGGCAATGGACCCATTAAGGTGAGATTTACTTGGATTAAGAAGTGTTAAAGCTGTTAAGTAGTCCTATTAATGATAAATTATCTTAAGTGAACTATATGCTGGGGTGTTTAAACAATTTCATTTGATCTTTGAATTAAATTTATACCTCATAAAAAGAATAATTTTCAGTCGTATTTAAATAAGTTCATTAGAAATTCCACAAAAAATGAACTGCAAGGTGTAATTGATGATACTTATTATTTAATTTTAAACTTTTTCATATTTTGTTTAACCCTTCAATGTCAGCAGTTTTACCGTATTTTCAAGACAAAAGTGACACAATATACCACAATGATGTTGTTATTTTCAGGGAAATTTGTGCATGCCCTGTAATACTTACTGCTTTTGATTAGGGGAGTGAATTCCCATTTTTATGTACAGACACAGATGTGTCTGTACATATTGCCATCACCTGCGTCTGTCGTCGCCGTCGCCGATCATGTCGCCGTCGCCGTCGCCGTGCACTTTCAGCGTTAACACCATAAGTGGAAGACAGTTTTACTTTTTGGCTTTATATTTACAGAGCTGACTAATATTCATAAAACGCAGGTCAAGTTCGAAAATCAGCATGATCGGGCCATTATTGTAGAATTTATGCTGTTTTTTTCACTTTTTAGCATATATGCAACACTGTTAACACATTTCAAAGAAAACCGATTGGCCTGTTGTCATGAAACTCACAGGAGTAATCAGTCTTACTAAAACGCAGATCAAGTTCGAAAATCGGCATGATCGGGCCACTATTTT